ACCCTGAAAATCTGGCTAGTCACTATGAGACCCTGAGGGTCTGGCCATTCACCCTGAGAATCTGGCTAGCCACTCTGAGAGCCTGAGGGACTGGCTAGTCACCTAAAGAATTTGGATAGTCACTCTGAGACCCTGAGGGTCTGTCAATTCACCTGGAGATTCTGCCCATTCACCTTGAAATCCTGAGAATCAGACCATTGACTTTTAGAATCTTGACATTCTCCCTAAGAATAGATAGATAGATAGATAGATACTCGGATCAGTCACATTAAAACCACCTGCCTAATATCATGTAGGCCCCTCTCTTCCTGCCAAAACTGCTCTGATGCATTGAGGCATGGAGTCCATAAGACCTCTGAATATGTCCTTTGGTATCTGGCACTAACACATTAGCAGTAAATCCTTAAGGTTCTGCAGGTGGAGCCTCCGTGGATCTGGTTTATTGTCCCAGCACATCTCACAGATTGAGATTTGGGGAATTTTGAGGCCAGAGCAACATCTTCAACTCTTTGTCATTCTCCTCAAACCATTCCTAAATAATTTTTGCAGTGTGCTGAAATAGGCCTCTGCCATCAGGGAACACCATTGCTATGAAGGGGTATATGTGATCTGCAACAATCTCTAGGTAGGTAAGTTCATGTCACATCCATATGAATACCAGAACTGAAGGTTTCACAGCAGAACATTGCCCAAAGCATAAATCTGCCTCTGATGCCCTGCCTTCTTCCTATCCAGTTGACATCTTTTTCCCAGGTAAATGATGCACATGCACCCGGCCATCCACCTGATCTAAAAGAAAACATGATTCATCAGACCAGCAACCTTTTTCCATTGCTCCATGGTCCAGTTCTGTTGCTTATGTCCCCATTTTAGGTGTTTTCAATGGTAGACATGGGCACACTGATTGATCTGCAGCTATGCAGCCCCATAGACAGCAAACTGTGATGCCACTGTGTGTTCTGGAACCTTACTATCATGACCAGCATTAAGTTTTCCAGAGATGTGAGCTACAGTAGCCCTGTGTGATTGGACCAGAAGGGTTAGCCTCGAGTCCCCACTTGCATCAATGACCTTGACACCAATTCACCAGTTGTCCGTCCTTGTAAAACTTTTGGTAGGCACTAACCACTGCATTTTGGAAACAGTCTACATGATTTGTTGTTTTGGAGATGCTCTGGTCCAATCAACTAGCGATCACTATGTGGCCCTTGTCAAACCCCATTTTCCTGGTTCACTTGCTGAATAATATATCCCACCTCTTGACAGCTGTCATTGTAACGATCTAATCAATGTTATTCACTTCACCTGTCAGTGGTTTTAATGTTGTGCCTGATCAGTGTTGATGGATAGATAAATAATTTGAATTTTTTGGAAATATAGCTAGATAATACTGATATTTATTTACTTACTCACTAACCGAGGAAAAACACACCTTGGGATATGTTGAGGCACTGTAAACATTACATAGGGTACAGATGTTTATATCTGACAGGCAGGTAGTGACAGAGAGTTAAGATTTCTGTAGAAAACGAGAAGTGGAAATTTTCAAAACATAATCTGCAATTAAAATGAAATCATGGTTCTGCGCTAATTGATTTGCATGTTGGCTCTTGCTGCACAATTTACAATAGGAGCAGATGTGAAGCAGCTCCTGGGTTCCCTCATCCCCCCAAAATAAAACAACCTCGATGTAGGGTAATTCCTCCTCTTCACCTTCTCACAGAAAATCTGCCTAAGATTGTTAATTGACAGCCTGCTCTGAAAAGCTGGAAGGCGTACTCTGTAATTTGCCATTTGTTCTGCAAAAAAATAAAAATAATAAAATCACACAATCCCACTCACATAGCATGCAGAGCTTGGAAATCCAGCAGGGTTCTATCAGGAGAGAGCCTGCAAGAATGCATGAGTCATCGGGAAAATTAGTCAGTGAGTAGGTGTTGGGGAATGGTGACTAAAAAGGGCCAGAACGGCTCTTAGCGGGAGTAAAGAGTTCAGGGCTGAAGAGAAGGAAAAAAAAACAAAAAGACACACAAGCAAAAGAAAAAGAGAAAATGGATAGAAGATTGCAGGGTTTCAAATAAAGCAGATTTTATTTCATGTTACAAAAGCCTTAATAACTCTGACCACTGCGAAATATTATGTAGAAGATTGTTAGAATGAATGCCTCAGCGATTACTATACACACAATGCATTCCTTATGCAGTAAACATTCTGCAGTCCAGAACGATAATGCAATGGTCAATTGACCTAAAATGAGCTGGACTGATCATATCTTAAGGGGAAATAGTTATTGTTTACTTTAGTTTAGAGCAGCAATGCATGCTTGCCAAATCTCATATCTGGGTATCGTAAATGCATTTACATGATACAAGTTGTGCAGTAAATAACTAATTCTTAATGAAAGATCGAAGATAAAATCACAGACCACATCTTGGTACTAAACGACGTTTGAAAATTGTTGAAGCTGCAGAAGCGTTGTGGCTGCTAAGTACACGGTGCAAGTAAGGGCACAATTTGATTCCAATCTTACCAAATCCAATTATTTTAGTGAAGAAAACCGCAAAGGAGACCAAAGCATAGTTCTCGTTGCTAGTCTTCATGCTATATTACTTAGTACATATGATGGGCTAGTCTTCATGTTATATGACTTAGCACATGTGATGGTAGCTGTTGCTCTATTTCATGAAATGATCTTGACTGTCTTTAAAGACAAGGAATACGCATTTAAACTAACTCCTATAGAATATTTTTTCTGGATCACACAATTATTCGCAGATCATTTTTCTTTGATTTTAGCATAGCCCAGATGCAGACCCAGCAAAAAAATGGTAAAGTGTTCAGTCACAAATATAGGCCAAGTTAGTCAAGTTTAAGAATTGTTTATAATTAACTAATTTATCCTTTTTTTGTTTTTTAAAAGTTTAGTGAATAAACACCTGTAATGAAGACAAATATGGGTGTGCTCAGCTGTCTGAGACTGAAGCTGGATTGGACATAAGGAGACCATGTCTGAGGTTGGTGTACAAGTCATATATCCAAATACCTATAGAAAGATGCTCGTAAGTGTTGTGCTTATGAATATGTGCTGGTTTAGCTTGAGTGCGTTAAGAGTGGGAATATCACCAGGGTGATGTGTTCGGCACTCCAGATGTTGTGAACTACTTGTCCCTTGATGCTTTGACACCATTACGTAGGAGTACGGAGAGTTGCCTGCCCCTGAAATAGACTATAGTTAATTGGAAATAATGGAATGGTGAAATATATAAGAGAATATAATCTAAAATGGAAAAAAGTTATTCTTAGTCTTATGCCTGCTTAACTAAGTTATATAACTATAAATAAATGACAATTTATAAGTAAAATAGGAGAAATGCGTTGGTAACTACAGGAGGCATTGAATAAAATGTTTTTAAATAAGTACATGATATTTACACTGTAGATAGATGTGTGATTATTGCATTGGGGCTCATTTCTTACAGGTCTATATTTTATACATGTAAGAAACATGTTTGACTGTGGGACCACATCTATGAAGTTCTTGCAAGATTTGATGAATACAAATTGAACTATCACTCATCTTTAATTAAAATTCTTGAACAAACGAACAGGTAACATCAATCATTTTATCCGCTCATCTGTTATACATTTTAAACCACTGTTAAAGGAGTATTGGTACATTGTCCAGCCATGCCCTACTATAATTATCAATGTAAGTCAGAGCTTTAATAATATAACTGCTATGCTGTCTGTGCTCCACTTAACTTTTACTGTCTACAATGAGAGCTAGAAGAAGCCTTAGTTAACTGTAGATTATCTAGGTTACACGCAGAATGTGATGCTGTGCACAGTGTGACGTTTTACAATCAATATTTCTACCTTCAATCAGTCTTTATTCTTTCTTTGTGAATCCATGACAATTATGTTCACGTAAAACATGAATTTATACTTCCATGGTTTGAAGGTTTCAATTTATAAATAATAACCCAGGTACACACAGACATACTGTAGCGCTGATCTATGATCTATCGTACTAAGATTTTTCATTGCTTTACAGTAAAGTATGACCGCTTTCATATTAGAGTATTTAAGTAGCCGTAAGTAAATAAGGTATTTTTAAAAAGCATAAAAAATAACAATGCATGGATGGACAGATGGTTGGGATGAATAGGATAGACAGATGGATGGACAGACAGACATACACGTGGAGTTCTAGTGCAAGACCTGTATTGCATGCCACTCAGGACCGCTATGGGGTTAAAAACATGTTTAATTAATTTTAACCACATTTTGACTAGTATTATGATGTTTTTAATTAGAACCTTGTTGAGTAATTGTGGCAAGTTGCGGCAAGTTGTGTCAATGTGGGTCGCTCTCACTGTTCTGAACTGGGATTGAAGTGTCACAATGAACCTAAGATAACTTTTATGCATAGCCGTGCATCTCATTACTCTTTAATTAGGATATTGATTTAACCCCACGTTAGATTAACACGTAACCAGGCAGCTAAACACGAATCAATGTGATTTTATTCACACATTGCATTATTTTTGTTTCTATGTGTGCATTTGGGGTGGGTGTGCAAAGGCTTTGTCTTTCACTGTTACAGAAGAGGGTACAAGAAGACCCTTTGGCAGGTTTGGGCAGGGAAAGCTGTAAAAGTACGTGGGAGAAGTGTCTCCTTTGCTATGTCTGAATTACGTGTTTTCTCATTTTCAAAGAGAGAGGGAATTACACATTCTTCCAAAAGCAGTAGTGTTCACAGCCTTCAACGTGTTCGCTGAATCATAGGAAGGGGGGGCATGGAAGTGTCATCCAAATGCTCATGTTTCCAAGGAGACCGTTCCTTCAGCCAATGAGAAGCACAGTCATAGTGTGGGCTTGCAGACAACTCACATGCGATGCTGGGTTAGAAAGAGTATAAATACCGCAGTAGGCAAACTATTCTCACAAACTCAGGCACAAACCGATAGAAAGTATTTATTTTACTCTGCTGTGTTTGGGCTGCTTTTTAAGGATTCCGAAGCTTTCTCTTGCTCGATAGCTTGGTAGAGTTTTCTTGTTGCAGAAAATTTTCAAGTTTCATTCTGACTTCCAGCATCTCACCAGTTTCTTCGCAGCTTCACCGGGGAAAGTCTTACAGCCTATGTCCTGTTCGAGATCCCGATTTGTTTTGCATCTTTCTGAATAAAGGCCTCTGAAGACAGGCAAAAAAGACATTCTCTACTAAAAGAACTGGACAATTTGCCTTTGGGTGATATCTAACTTTTGCTTTTTCTTCTCTCTTTCCTGGTTTTACTTTAAACTTTTACTCATTTTACTGCAAAATCAGATACTGTTCTTTCTCTTATGCTGTATTGATACGTTTCTGATAAGTGATTTTTAAGGAAAGTTAACAACTTATTTGGTGTTAGATAAAAAATGCTCTTAATTTAACAGGGTATATAGAAGAATCACTAACATATAGCAACATCTGTTAAGCTGTTTGTGCAGGGAATCATTGAAACTGCTAATTTAAACGTAAAATATTTCACTTGACATATATATTGAAAGCTGTTACTTGTAGAATTGGTTAAGAACAGTTTCTGTATTCAGTTTTACAGATTTAACTTAGATTTTGCTTTGTATGATACATTGATGTCAGTAAATATGGCAGCAGGTGGAATCATGGTGCCAGCTGTACCCGTCCCAGAGAAAACAGTAGCTCTTCAGATTGGAACTTGCAGTCCAGCAGAAATGCTTGACAGAGTCAGAAAAACCCAGGTGTACATCCTTTCAGGAGTTTCCAGACAGGTGGAGAATGAGCTGAAAGGATTTAAAAGGTCAGTACAGAGGCTAAATTATAACATGAATGATCAATCCCATGTAGTTGGAATACAGAGATGGAAACGTTCAATTAAGGCATGTCTAAACAGGTGTCAAGATACCTTAGTCAATTTAGAAAGGTGGGTTAAGAGGGAGATGAATTCGTGGAGAGGGGTCTTTTCCCGCTTTGAAAAAATGGTTAGTAAGGCAGATCAGAACTTATGTAGGACATGTCGAATTGAAGAACATCACAGGAGATCCTTCCATGAGAAAAGTGATAAGGAAAAGGAGGCAGAGGCATCTCAGATAATTGATCCTTATGCCCCAACCCCACCTAGCCCACCAGCACCCCCAACCCCCCCACCAAGTTGCCACCCACATCACTGGGTTGTAATCTCAGTAGATATTTTATCCCCACCAGAATTTGATGCAAATATGTCAGAGGATCCCAGGGAATTCCTAGTTAACCTTGAGAAATATTTTAAACGCAGTGGCTGGAATGAGAAAATTTGGTTATCCCAAGTAGACAATCATTTGAAAGGTGCTGCTCAGAAGTGGTGGGAATACAGGCAGGAGACAGTAGACAACTGGCATGATTTCAAAGTGGCTTTTCTGCAGTATTGTGAAAGGTTGATAGTTAGAGAGGCCATCAAAAGGGATTTAGATCTTCCCCAAAGACGTTGGGAACCACTAGAACAATTTGTTTGGAAGAAGAGGGCATTGTACCACAGGCTTTATGTTGATGCTAATGAAGAAGAGATGATCAATTACATTATTAGTACTCTTCATCCTGAGATCAGACGTTTCCTAATGCCACCATATCCTAAAACCATGGATCAACTTGTCCAGAGAGGGAAAGAAATACAGTTTGATTTTGAACAATCTGAAAAACAAACACTGAAGGCAGCCTACTCAGATGAACAAATTAGCACCAAACTGAAGGTCACAGTTACAAAAGACCCTTATGATAGCAATAATAGTTGCACAGAGAAAATGTAAGCAAGGGTATAGAAATGACTGAGAAAGTTAAGAGAAAACTTTGAAGAATGTGAGAATTTGTTGCTTACTAATTTCATTGACAAGCTGAGTTCTCTTGATAACAGAGCTTAATATGAAGAGTGAAACATGGAAGGGAAAATGATTAGAAACTTAAATTAAGTTTTGTGAACTTTAATGCATCATACTTAACTGATTCATGATTGAGATTCCCTAGATAATTTTACTGTGGAGGTGTTAATCTAAATAGAGAAAGGGAGTAGTATATGGAACTTTGACAATCTAATGGTAAAATAAGAGTAGAAAGTGTAAATGGTTCTGTCATGGTAATAGCAAGTTTGTTTAATAATTCCAATTCTGTTGGTAATGCAGTCTTAATGGGCCTTTTTACAGTGGCTGTAGATGTGTTTTCTGAAGTCTGGGATTTACCAGCAGGTGACAGAATCCATACATTCTTTCTGGTTTGTCGGAAAATATGTAATTTCTAAAAATCGAACTAGAGCTAATGTGAAACATAGGACACATTGCCCTACTAATAACTAAAACATGAATGTGTTCATTTCTTTTTAATTTATCAAACACTGCTAATGGACTTCTTTATTCAGTCAGAGAATTGCCACCAGAATCTGGTGAACAAGAATTATTTTGGGTGGGAGCTGGTCAGAGTAAGACCACATTCCAGTAATGGAAGCTAGAAACCACTTACAGGTGGTGGAATGTTCTTCAAAAGAGCAGATATCTTCTCACTTTTATGTCTGTTGAGAAGGACTGTGAAGTCTCTTAGCACTTGTGTTCTTTAAGACAATTCATAATTTGTTCGGTTTTAAGAGCATTTTTATATCAGAGCTGCAAATCTTAGTAACAGTTTAATTTGAATTATATTAATTATATCATATTTACAGATATCATGTTCTAATTATGAAATTCTCAATTAGTATAGTTTATGGTTATTGTATAGTCTATTTTATAATTAATACAATGTAAATATGTAACTTAAATAAGATGACAATATTTCAGATTTATTAGGAAGCAATAATGTTTTCTAAAAAAAAAACACAACTTTAAAATATTGATATTATCATGTGATCAGTATTTGCATTTTTGTACATTGTAAGTCAAGGCATTTTTGGAGACTACTGTGTCAGTAATATAAAAAAAATTAAGTTCCTATGGTATCTACTTTGAGAATGGAAACTGCCAACAGTTTTCCAATATCAATACAAGTGATAGAGAAGGGGAAAAAAGACACAACTGTCCCAAAATACCTAGACAATGTTTGTAGCAATATACTCTATAAATTGTAAAATTGTTAGAAATGAAGAAAGTATTGCATTTCTCTATTTGTAATATGTGAGTATACTATAGCACTTTTACATAATGATATTTTGGCGTGTAGGAGGACAAAACAAAATATGTTTAGGTTCATACAATAATTCATGTCCTACGTCTTCTGATTTCATTCATTCTTCTTGGACACTGATGTTATTATCTGAGAAAAGAGACTTTGTCATTATGATTGGTGGCAGAACTTCAATTCTATTCACTTACCACTAAAGTTGGATACAATGATGCCCACCAACAATGGACTAAAATACACAACTTACCAGGCCTATGTTGTACCTACCAAGTAGATATGTATGACCTGCAATCAATGTTCTTGGCTATGCCAACAGATCACTTTATATAGGTTGCCCTGTGATACAAATAGGGTTCTTCGGAATGTAGGAATTTGTCTCAACTCAGGAATATTTGCAAAATTCAGAACATCTTGGAATTGTTCAACTTAATAAACTGAAAATAGATCTCTGAGAAATTATGACGCTTTCAAAAGATTGCAAGAAAACAAAACAAATACTACTGGCTTAAGAGAACAAGCCCTGGACTTTGTGTTTATTAAAAATAATGTGATGGAATGAAGTAATTGATATGCACTGACTGGGAACTCGAAGCCTGCAGCCATCTGTGGCATGATGTCACACCTGATGTCATAGCAGTCGATAGCTTCTCAACTGGGACTGTACACAAGGCCTTCCTTAACACAAAGTAAGTACACGTACAGAAATGCTTATTGCATATTACAATATAATACAGTAATATTCAATATACTCTAATATAGTCAGCTGATGTTTTAACATTATGATTTTAATCGTTTTATGACATCAAAATGTATATTACTTATATTTACATTAAATATTTTAGTTTCCCTTTGAATAATCTTATAGCAGTTTTTGTGACTTTTCCCCAAAAAATAAATACATTATTACTGCGATCCCAGTTGCCCTGTGTTCACAGATTACAATGGAATAGTTACTGTAATTAGATATCAGAGATACAAAGAAAACTCCATTAAATTGTAATATGGTCTTAGTGCGCTCTAGTGTCTATTTTCCTATGCTTTTCATTCCATATATCCTTATATTGACCTGTCATTACTCTATTATTGCAGATATTACATCAGATGAACAAGATGGCTCCTCATTTCATCATGTCAGAATCACAAAATGATGTCATCAGCTGCATATCGCTTCCTAATCTTCTACTTTACAAAGGAAAGTCAAGATGAAAGATTTTGAAAAAACGTGATCTGAAAAGAGTGAAGGAAAAAAAATCTTTATTTTTTATGATCTGCATTCGGTCTTCTCCTGTGTTTGTCTATGTGGACTAATTTCATCACACCAATGTAAAACAGAACCTACAACAACAAAAATATTCCTAAAGAAGAATTCTTACATTTTCTTGTCAAGTGCCATTTGATATCTGCCTTATGAAATTGTATTGTATTGTGTATTTAAATACAGAGAATTGCACACTCCAAAGACAGAACTCTATATGAGCATCCATTGTCATAATGCATTGGTGTACTCAAAGAGGTTAATTGTACATTATTTAATAAAAGTCTAAACTTTTTTTATAACATGTGGTGATTCTGTTTTCTGGTCAAAAATAATTAACAAAATCAATTACAGCATCAAATTCCCCCCAAAATTAAGATTTTTAGTTTTAGCTAAAAAAAAAAAATGCTAGGGATTAAAAGGTTTAAATAAACAGTCTATGTGCCCATGCATCCATCCATCCATCCATCCATCCAACCATCCATTCATCCATCCATTCATCCATCCATTCATCCTACCATCCATCCTACCATCCATCCTACCATCCATCCATCCTACCATCCATTCATCCATCCATCCTACCATCCATCCTGTCTATGTGCCCATGCATCCATCCATCCATCCATCCTACCATCCATTCATCCATCCATCCATCCTACCATTCATCCATCCTACCATTCATCCATCCTACCATCCATTCATCCATCCATCCATCCTACCATCCATTCATCCATCCATCCATCCTACCATTCATCCATCCTACCATTCATCCATCCATCCTACCATCCATCCATCCTACCATCCATTCATCCATCCATCCTACCATCCATCCTGTCTATGTGCCCATGCATCCATCCATCCATCCATCCATCCTACCATCCATTCATCCATCCATCCATCCTACCATTCATCCATCCTACCATTCATCCATCCTACCATCCATTCATCCATCCATCCATCCTACCATCCATTCATCCATCCATCCATCCTACCATTCATCCATCCTACCATTCATCCATCCATCCTACCATCCATCCATCCTACCATCCATCCATCCATCCAACCATCCATTCATCCATCCATTCATCCATCCATTCATCCTACCATCCATCCTACCAATCCATCCATCCTTCCATCCATTCATCCATCCATCCTACCATCCATCCTGTCTATGTGCCCATGCATCCATCCATCCATCCATCCATCCTACCATCCATTCATCCATCCATCCATCCTACCATTCATCCATCCTACCATTCATCCATCCTACCATCCATTCAT